CCCGCCCGTTCTCGGAGCCAAACGAGCTGCAACGCTGACTAAACGTAATTGCGGCAAAGTGTCGCCGCCACGCCCCTGCTTCCTTCCCATCCGCGAAAATCCCAGCGACGCGTCTCCCAGTGACGTCGAGGAATAAGGCGACTTCCCGCCGCCACCTTCGGAAGGAGAAGAATCCTTCTTCACACTCGGTCGCGACAGAGGCGCGACACCGAGACAATAAAACACGCCCCGGTATGTTTGACCGGATCGTTCGCACCCGGCGGACTGCCATGGGAGACGGGCGGCGGCGGCGACTTCAAGGACCTCGTCGCGCTGGACAGCTTGGCGGAAAGGTTAATGCCTCGTCTCTGATAAGCAAATGCCCCGCCAATCCCGTCGTGCGAAAGAGAGAGAGAGAGAGAGACGAGCTAGACAGGCTAATAATCATGGGCTGATGGACGCGCAGCGCGTCGAGCGACGGGCGCGTGTAGACTCCGCGACGTTCCCTGACCAACATCGTGAAATGTAGCCGGACGGGTGGGTGGGACGACTGGATAGCACGACCGCGACGGTACCGCTCGCTCGGCGGAAAAGGTTTTAATTTGTAACGTAAGGTCCCGCGACCCCACCTGGGCTTTCATGTGATTATAATCAGGTCGGTATAAAACGCGATTATCTAGCGCGACACGCCCCCGCGTCGCTTGTAAATGAAAATAATGAGAATAGTAAGACTAAAAAACCTGGGGAGGGCGTGAGGCGCACGCAACGTGTGCAGCACGCCTCAATTAAGGGTTAAGCAACATGTCTGTCCAGTCGGGCGGGCTCAGCACTCCTCGCACATCGTCACCTCCGCCACGGCAGACGCTCCTGTCGCGCACGCACAGACACACACACGGGGACAGACAGGACACCCAGGACACTCCCCGAGGCCCCGCCCCGTCGCGCCGTAGGCTCCGCCCCCGCGCGCCCCACTCCGCGACGCGCGTATAGACGCCGCCCACCGGCGACGCGCTTCGGCGCGCCACCGCTGCGCGGCGCTCGCGTCGCGACGGAGGACCTCTCTGCGGCTCCGGCGCGGCCGCGGCCTGGCGCTGCGGCGGGTGACGCGACGACTCACCTGTGGCGGAGCCGCGAGATTTGGCGTCAAACGCGCCGCAGAAATTAAACGTCTCGCCGCGGCTTGCCGACCGGTTGACATGTCAAGCAGTATCAAAAGCCACACTACGATCCGGCAGTTCGTCAACACCTGGATATCGCACCCTTTTACAACGCGTAAAGATGCGAGCTCACAGTCTTCGTTGGGACACGGCGCGCAATGTCGCGCACACCCGAAAACTCCAAGCACACAAGTTTACTTGGCGAGTAGAACGGCACCGGGGTTGACAAAGGTATTCACTGACGTTAGCCTGACATGCCAAAACTCTCAACACGGACTTGAAAAATCGGTAAAATGGGAAAAGTAATAAACTCCTTCCAGTCAGATCTCCGCATGCGTCTATCTCATTCATTCACAGCCGTGTCAGCACTCTACCGTGATAGTTGAACGTCCCGGGCAATGACACTTTTAGGTTCAACAGAAGTTACGGCGGAGACTTAAACCCGTGCGGGAAAAGTACTTGCCGAATTGAACTGAAAGTGTTGCAACACAGACAGAAATTTGTGTCTGATTCTGCGGTGCTGACACGCAAGCCCATTCGTGGAAGTGCGACGACACATCACTTTGATTGAGTCACGCTGAGTGTCGACGGCGGGCCATGAGGTCAGGACACCTGCCTCGTCACCCGACAACTCGACGGAGTGTGGAGACACACGGTGAAGTAGACGCACTGGGATGCTGACCGGGAGAATTTTCACATCAAACCACCAAGGAACTGCTGATGGCACTTAGCGCGAAACCGAAGGAGCGGGACTCAAGTGAAGGTACTCCTCGGCGATGCACACACATCACACACACATTTGGCACATCGTGTTGTCTTTGCACTATGTATCACTATCACACACACTTGTTCACTTGTCGCACCAAACTAGCACAAACTTCACTTAGATGCACTTTTTCACTTGAGCGGCTTGCCACTGCCACCCGTTCCCTACCCGGGTTGACACCCGGGTTGACAACCGCGAGGGTCACTCTTCACTTGCGGTACTCTCTCACTCACAACACACACGTCACTTCACTAGCCCTACCTTCTTCCATTGTTTCCATGGTCTTGTAGCTTTCCATGAGATCGGCGATTGTGGCGGCACAAGGTGCACTAGCAACAATCACTGTCGCCCCACTGTTCAACAAGTCTTCTTTGCGACGCCATCCATTGGCATCGAAATCCACAGCACAAAACTAGTAACAAACTCGCGATAAACTTTTTCTCTCGGCTCCTCACTGTTGAACAACACTAGCACATAGGCACTTGTCACTGCGAGCGGGCATGTCGCGCTGCGAACGGGCGGCGAGACGAGGTCGGCACAACCGCTCGGCAGAGAGGCGCACAGCGGACTGGGACTGTCACAGCGCTGGCACAGGGTCCGCAGGGTCGCTCGGGCCCGGACCCGGCTCGGCTCGCTCCGGTGGGCTCGGCTGGCTCTAGAGCTGGCTCGGCTCGCAGCGCGGCCCGGCTGCTGCCACTGCGTCCCTGCGTCGCTTGTCCGTGCGGCGCTACCGCCACCCCCTCCTCCGCCTCCACCACCGCCGCCGCCGCAGCGGGCCCAGCGACGCCGCTGCCGCCTCCACAGCCGCCGCCCCACCACCGCCGCCGCCGCCGCTCGGGTCGCCTGCCTGGCGCTGGTTCGGTGTTCGGCCGGGCTCGGTCCCCCGCGCCTCGACAGCCTCGGCTGAGACAGGTTGGAGCGAGCGCTGCTGCCATCTGGCGGCGACCGTCGACCCTCCTCTCTCACTTTGTGTCTTGTCCTCTGCGCTGGGTCCTGCGGCTCGGCTCAGTCCTTTGCCAGGGAGGGCCCATGGCTCCAGATCAGTGGCCAGGCCAGCAAAGCCCCGACGGAAGGTGTCGTACAGTGAGCCTGCCCAGCAAACATGTTTCCCTCTCCAGTGTCTCTCTACGTGCAAACAATCTGATATGAGCTTTAGGTGTGTTGTAAGCTTGTGAGGGACCACACCCTTTGTCATCAAAAAGCCGCCGAAAGCGAGGACGTCTTCCCACACAGCCCATCCCCCATACCCACATTAGAATAAGCACCACTTTCCACTCGCATGTGCGGCGGCAGTGGCTGATAAGGCAGGACATTGTTGAGCGTCGTTTTCGTCAACCCACCTTCCTTAATTTTTATGACTTTATTGTTATGGTGCCTTTTGGCGCGCCGCTTGTAAAGGGGGAAGGTGCTCCTCGATAAAACCACCACTTAAGGTGACATCAGGCCAAAGTAAGCAGCTCGGACAGAATTTTGAATCTTGCCACCCCTTCCCCCTCTCTTTCTCTCCCTTTCTCCTCTACCCCTTATCGTCAGCGTGCGCGGGGGAGCGGCACGCACTCTCGCGTCGCTAGAAAACTTTTTCGTCCCTACCCCTTCTTACTCATCTCCCATGCCGTGCACTCCATCCTTGTCGACCGGGCCGCGCCGAGCAGCACCGCACAGATAAATATTTATGCGTGTCTTAAATCGGGCCCATCGCCTTACTAGGAGAGAGGCGGGGACGAGGGGAAGGGGCAGGCGGGGGTGGGTAGTGTGAGCAGGTGAGGTGCGGGGAGAGGGGAGGTTTCACGTCGGCCTCCGAGTAAAACGACTGACGAGGGAATATATTTACACATAATTGAAGCAAAGAACTAAAACTGTCGCAAAAAAAAGTGGTATGAAAATTCCTTAAAATTTCTCATGACGATAAAATAGTCTGAGACAAAGAAACTTATTAAGAGGGGGAGGGGAAAGCGCGTAAGTGGAAGAGGGAGAGATATCACAAAACCGAGGTAGACGGAGAAAGAGAGAGGGGTTGTCCGCAGACCAGGGGGTGGCAGATGCGCGTGGGGGGTTGCTGGCCCCTCCTGTCCCTCGCCCAGCTGCGGAGGCCTCCCCGCCCCTCG